CTCTCCTTTGGGTTTTATCCCAGTACCTCTTTGTTAGGTGCCATTTTCCGATGGCTGGACTGGGACCCAACGAGGGTAACTCTTTGCTCTGCCAGCCCAGTGTTTGGTCCCAAGTTTAGTACCCATCCTCATGAAAAGCTGCATGTTTCTTTAGGATTAATTTCAAGCCATATGTTTCTGTTTTGAAACTATAACGGCTTTTGCTCTGTAACGATCAGCACAGAGAGAGAAAAAGGGCAAAGGCTTTTGTTACCAAATATTTAGCTCCCAAACGTTGAGTCACTATCACGGGGCTAACCAGAAAACGTCACCACCTTGCAAAGCACAGCATTGACACTATTTTTCCCTGGCACATCAATTTTCTCATAACAGCCAACTCCACTGTTTCTGCATTGTACGCCTTATGGAGAAAGTAAAGGCACCACTCCTCAGCCAAGCCCCTTCCTCAAAGGGCTGGCATAGCCTGCCTGCCAGAGTATGCAGTCATTCTTGAAAATGAGCAACACTGGGACCAGGTTCCCTTTAGCCGATCAGTCAAGGCAGCTGCTGAAAAAGAAATGCACACATGCTTCCCCACAAATGAAAATTTAGGTGGAACATGCCTGAGTTGGTGGGAGAGTCAAGAGAAGTTCACATGGTTCTGTGCCGCCAGATTCTCTCTAAAACACAAGTGGTCCAAGAGTAACAACAGCCATCACAGGGACACCTACAGTGTGGATCTCCGGATACATTCCCATTACTCCGGGGCGTCACAGAGACTCCGTGGAATGCTTTTCAGCTTAATACAAAGTGAGAACTGCCACCGGGTAATAAATTCCTTTCTGTCCTAAAATAGTAGTCCACAAGGTCATCATTGCAAGATGCCAAGAGGTGTTTTATCTCCTCGGTGGTGGCAAAGTGCCTCTTTTGACTGGAAGGTGCTGACTGATTCTACAATGCACAGCTCCTGCTCGCTGCTCACGTCCGTCTCACCCTCCTGAAGGATGTTCTTGACTGTGTTGATGCTGCTAGCTGAACCCAGCAGCAAACTTTATCACCAGCATGCCATCCTAGCCAGGCTCTTGGCTAAGAGAAGCAGAAGCCCACCGATGCTAACATTTGAAGGATCCAGAAGGAGGAGAGAGAGGTCTGACTTCTGGAGGAGTGATTTGCACTCATCGCCACTTGCCTCCTAACCACTGTGGCCAAACAGCATCTGTCATCAGGCTGCCCCTGAGCGTCACCCACCAGTGACTAGCAGCACTGAGGACTGCGTGAGTGAGTGTGTGTGTGTTGGGGGGGGGGTTCAGTGTGGAACCAGCTGCTCTGTAATGCCCAGTGCTCCTGTACCTCTTCAGACATTAATATGTGTGTGTCAGAAGAAGCCAAATCTCAATCGGCCAGGAGTATAGCTAAAATGGCCCTTCTGCCTGCAGCAGCTCTCCTCTGCGTCTCAACCTAAATCTCAGCATCTGACAAACCGCGGGTGAGAGTTTGCAGAAATATTAGGGAAGAACCCTTGCCAGCACTGAAACCGAGATGAATACAACAATGAAAAGCACTTAGAACCTTGTGGGCTTGCAGCCAGAGCCCTCAAACCTAGTATGCGCCTACCAACAAATGCAGAATTCGCCACAGCGATTTATAGCGGAGAGGCTAGCAGAGATTTATAGCAAAGACTAGAGTGTGGCACTCTTGCAGAGGCAGAGGGTTTGGGGGGGTGGTAGAAAAGGACAATGAAGAAAGAGAAAGTGACAGATCCCCATGCAATCCAAACATTCTGAGCCACTCCTTCAACCTCAGAAATTTTACCCTGATTTGGCTGATCCTAATGGTCTCTGAACCACATTGGAAGATGTCACAATAGATGTCTGAATTAAAATCCAGTAGATTTGCCGAAAGAGCGATCGTTTAAAATTGGCAGCATTCCAGAGAACTTACTAGGCTGCATACTGCCCAGGGCTGAGAGAATTGCTAATTCCAGAGAAAGTTAATTATCACTTTATTGATAAAGGGGTAATTTTTTAAAGCTTATGGTGTGGCTTTTGTGACTCATTAATTAAAATTTAGAGTCATTTACTAGACACACTGGTGGGCTTCTGTTACATTATATATGTACAAAACCATTTGATTTTTCTCCCAGGGGCTGTTATTAATCCCCCTCATCTCTCCTCATCTGTCTGCCTGCGGAGGCAACAAAAAAAACACTAAAAACGTGTAAATCTCAAACCAGCCTTTGGGGAGCTGGCTGAATTAAGATGTCCAAGGACGCACTTAAAGCTCCCTCCTAGACAGGTCAAGGGCGCCCACCCCCCACGAGGAAGCACGGACGCCCGCACCAAAAGGCACGGCTGTCACAAACTTGGGCTCCAAAAACATTAGACCGAATTTCATGCCCTTGGGTGGTGAGATGGGAAGAGAGTCTTTCCTCCCGTCGTTTCTCTTCTCTCCCTCACCGTCCCCGGGTCGAAGCAGGAGGCTTGGGGGTAGAGGAGTGGCGCCAGCTGAAACGGGAGGGGGCTTGGCATGGGGAGCCCCCAGGCGGGCGCGGCCCGGCGTCGCCTCCCGCTTGGCCTCGGACGCGCGGGCTGCGGCGGGCACGCCCCGGGCTACCTGGCTTCAGCGCGCGGCCGAGGCTGCCGGGGGGCACCGGCGAGGGAGGAAAGACGCCCCGCCGAGCTCCGCCTGGGAGCCGCCGTGAGTGCGCTCCGAGCTTCCGCCCGCCCCACCCCTGCCGGGACCCAAGCGTGTCAGGGTCTGTGTGTGTGTGATGCGTCCCCCCGCCGCGCCGAACTATCCACCCGCTCTGCAAAACAGCCTGGAACTGAACCCCACTCCCGCCAACGTACGAAGAGGTACCCTTCTCTGAGCGTGCCTTCTTTGGATTTCAGGGAACTTCAGTAATGTTGCCTTCAATGTGTTGGAAGTCTGTGGGCTCCACAATTTGAGATTGAAACATAAATACACCCACCCCATTAGGAGAGGCTGGAGGCCATCTGCTTGTGATTTTCACATCATTGCAAGTTTAAAAAAAATTTTAAATTCGATCTTTGCGCTTTGGGGCATCGCTCGAATTTTTAGAATAAGCCAATACGACTTCCCGTTGAAAAAGTCACGACTTTCATGAATTTTCAGTAGAAAAGTTCTCGCGGCAGGACGACAGCACGTGGGGTTGACTTGCTTCCCAGCAGCTGGTCTGCTAGTCCTACCTGCTGCTGGAGAGCCCTGCGACCCCAGCCCCCAGGGGCCAGGAACCAGAAAGTGAAACTGCTTCTGCTGGTTTCCACTTGCCTTGAAAACACACCACCAAAAGCAAACAAATGACCGAAAGCGATTTACTCTTGTGTCTCTGATTCTTTTCTTTGTATTCATATTTTTTTTTCTTTTTTCTTTTTTTTTCTTTTTTTTTTTTGCAGCAAAATAAAAGCCGTTTTGGTAACACAAAGAAATTTAAACATGTTAAGCACAGAAGAACTGGGGGGTTTTTGTGTGTGGGATTTGCTCTTGTGATTCTACAAAGCAAGCAGACTGATAGATTTGCCAAAATATCACACAGAGACTGTGCACATGCACAGTTTAAAGAGCTGAAGAAAACATATTCACATTTTAAAAAAATATCTGCTTACACACATGTGTTTAAATGGTAAAGATCTGGAGCCACCAAACAAAGTCCCTAAAACTGAAGTTTCTACGTTAACGTTTTATTTGAGTTGAGATAGTCACTACTGTCTTTCTAGGTAATCTTCACTCAGCTGCTACTGCTCAGGAACTGCCCCCTCATTTTTTCAAGCTAGTTCTACCAAACACAAAAAAATACTCCACACAAATATTGTGCCCCTGGATGGTTTACTTTACCACACTGTAAATTCCTTCATAGTTATTTTTATGCTTTCACTCCAAATATTCTATTTTTTTTTTAAGTCTTGGAAAAAAAACCCAAAACAACTATGTCTCTCACTCTTCAAAAATGGTTCCTCTGGTTGAAAGAAAAACACAAGAGTGTTCGATTCTGAAGCGCCAGGATCACTTTCTCAAGTACCACAGTGTCTGAGACCAACCAAAAGCCACTTTCTCAGAAAGCTACTGATTATCTTGAGTTATCTGATTACCTTCTTGAGACCGTCACAGAATCTAGAGACAACACTATGAGGCAGCTCTCCATTACTACTACGTGGGAGCGGAAAGAACTTGGACTTAGCAGATCAGCTACCGGTCAAATGACTTCCACACAGCTGACACCGCCTTCATCCACTGTCCTGTTCTACTCAGCAAGCAACCTGGAGAGGAAGCTTTGTGCCACCGGGTTCTAGTCACACAACACCCTATCTGGGAAGAAGGTGACTGTATTCGAACTTGGGAAAACTGATCCTGACACTCCATAGACACCTGGGGTTTTTTTTCCCCCAAAACTAACCAGTACCAGCTACTAGCAGTAAATAGTATTCTCATCTGTCTTGATAAATTAAGGGGAAAAAAAAAAACACGAAGACATGTAAAATATTCCACCTGGGATATAAATAATAAAATTCAATTTTAAAAAGTACTCTTGCGAGTTCACAACACATCAATTTTAATAATTAAATTTTAGTAAATATGTTTATCCCAAGACATAGAACACTTTTTGAATTAAAACAAAACAAAAGCAAAGCAAAATCATCATGCAAAAAAGTAAAACAGTTATTTGAGTTCACATTTGGGGAAAAAAACAACTTTCTACATCTTTCAATGCAGAGTTAAAGAGTAGTGAATATGGAGTTGCCCCAAATTTAAAAACTATATAATTCTAGGCTACACCTCTTCCTCTCTGAGATCTGGTTAAGAAATCAAACATTTCTGTTCTGAGTAGGAGGAACTGAAGTTTACCTGCTGACCTCAGTGGTTTGAGTGCAGGACACTCGGGCATTGCCACGGAGGTAGGCATGCAAGCCAGACACACTGAAACAGGTCACCTGTCATGCTGACAGTAGAAAGAGAAGGATCCCATGTCAATGGCACACCCTCCGATTGTGCATCTCCCTTACCTACGGCTTGTTCACCAGAGCCCTGATCAGGTTCTTGACCAGGCCGGGAATGTTGACTCAGAAGACAGATGACTTTCGGTACATGCAAACCGAGTATTACAAAAGCTAATCTTCCACCCGTGTGTTAGTAGCTCACAGTGAGACTCCAGCAGCCCCGCTCCCCGGCTGCAAACATCTCATTAGACTAATGCATTCAGCACAGGCAGAAAACTCGATTTACCATAGCTACAGCAATGAATTTCCATTACGATGACAGCTTCAACCACATCATGTCCGGAAAACCAGCCAACCACTGGCTTTTAAAGAACACACACATTTTACATGCAGAAAACGAGGCGCTTGCGTGCGTGTGTGTGTGTGTGTGTGTGTGTGTGTGTGTGTGTGTTTCGTGTTTCCTTCCTCTTAGCAGCCCAACTCAGAGAAATGTGCGGTGTAGCTTTTTGCCGACATGAGCTGCAAGGTAATGACAATTCTGCTCCTTTGGTAGTTACGTCTTTGTAATAACCTGAATTATGTCACAATTGTCAGAGTGGGTGTTTCCAACATTTCGGTTTTCATTACCCCTCTTCTGTTGCCATAGAAACCAGACTGTAACATCATCTCTTTGTCCCAGTCTGCAGCAGTGTGGGCCAGCGCCGGGCTTAGAAGATACTGGGGATCTGGGGGAGTAAATATTTGACTTTGAACAAACACAACAACAACAATATTCTAATAACATCGCTGTGCGGGAGAGACTGTGTGTTTGCCAGAAGAGTGTTGCCTACACAGGTGGACACAGCACAGTCATATGCATTGACTCGATAGCTGCAGGCAGCGCACGTGGTCAGTGGATGAGCCCGGACTTGGGCTCCAGATCTGTGTGTAAGCGCAGAAGCATGTCTCCACTCGTGACGGCGGTCAGGGCCCACGTGGGCTAGAACGGTCCTCACACAGGAGAAAGGCTACTAGTTAGCCTCCACACCCCATTGTCTTCTTTGTGGCAAATCAATTTATACTGGTAAAGGGACTTGTTCTCTTTTTTTTTTTTTTTTTTAGTAAAGTGGAGTAAGACTCCCCATCACCCATTTCATTCAGCCCATTCTGGAGTATTTATTATTCCCAAGTCTTTCCTACAAGATGAAACATCCATTCAACCAATATGTGGCCACCCACAGGCTTACTCCTGGGGATGAACAACAAGCAAATTTAGCAAATGTTTAGGACTAACCATGAACTAGGGCCAATTAAGGCTTAGGCCACAACTTGGACAGTTACTGAGAGCAAAAAAAAGAAATTACAATTTGAGGTTTTTCTGAATATATACACAGAGTCACATTAGAAAGAAATAAGAAATCTTTCTCCTCGAATTATGAACACAGGAAAAAATTAAAATTTTTTGAAGTCAAAGCATTGTACTTATTGAACAAGAAATAGGGGCACCTGGGTGGCTCAGTCGTTAAGTGTCTGCCTTCGGCTCAGGTCAGGGTCCCAGGGTCCTGGGATCGAGCCCCGCCTCGGGCTCCTTGCTCGGCGGGAAGCCTGCTTCTCCCTCTGCCCCTTCCCCCATTCGTGTTCTCTCTCTTTCTCTCTCACTTGCTCTAAGTAAATAAAATCTTTTTTTAAGAAAAAGGTAAAATTAACTACTTTAGTTCATTTAATCATCTAATTTTGTTGTTTTGCTTTGTGTGAGAGAAGGCAAGTTTGGTAGTTTTTCACCTTGGTCATTTAGTATAAGTTGGTTTCAGCAAAGGAGAAGGAAGGGAAGGAGGAAGGAAAACAGGACCCAATGGACGATCCAATTGCCAGCACCTCTGTCACAGTGGTTGTGTGTCTTGTGCCCAAGGCCTCAAACACAATCCCACAGGATGATCAGCAAAGTGCCTCAAGTGGTCTGGGATGCTAGATTTAAATAGGATAAATCTTTCTTAAATAATCAAAATAGTTCTCAAATCCTGCGGAAGGAAGGAAGGAACGGGATGGGGCGGTGGGGGGAGGGAGGAAGGAGCTTGGCAGAATCTGCCCAAAAGAAAGGAGCTTCCGGTTTTCCTACCTAGCTCTGTGAGAGTCTGTGATTCTGATCCTTCAAGTCCACACTTCCTCACCTCCTCCCAGAGGTGCTCTTGTGGGCTGTCCTTAAGTCGAGTGTGTCTGGGATACAGGCGTTGGCATTACAGGTCAGCTGTGCAGTGAGGCTTAAAATGGAAGTTAACTAAAAGATGGCTTGCTTAAAAAATGATAGAACTGATAGATGATAGACAGATAATTGATAGATATCTACTGGAATTCCTTTTTTTTTTTATGCACCAGGACTTTGGCCTTAAGAAATTAAATCCATGTTTGTAAAAATCCTAAATGTTTTTAATTCCAAGCAAAAAATTAAGTTAAACATGTAAGGAAAAGAAATTTGGGATGGCTGCGTACAAGCCAAGGGGTATGTTAAGCGGCAAAGGAGCCCTTCCCAGTTAACATACCTCTCAGTCTTGTGCACCCCTGGGCTGCAATCAGGATACTTAGTTGTGCCACGTTGCTAATTTTCTTTGGCGCTGTGGTTACATTTCTGTCTCCGACCACAGGCCGCTTGCTCCACTCTTTCCACACAAATGCTATTGGGCTGGCGGTTAGAAAGAGGCAGCCAGAGGGAGCAGGTTAATCGGGGGGCATCCCAAATGCAAACCTACTCAAAGTGGTATCCATTTGAAGAGTAATCCCTGTCAGCTGCTGGTAAAGAGCTATGGTTCCAACACAAGCATCAGGGGACGAGAGCTGTGTCCTGGGCAGGGGTGTCAGTTCTGCTGCAAAACCCAGCCATATTAGCATAATAATTGGGAAATTAATTAAGTAATTATTATTACTAGGGAAATACTATGTAGGAGCCTTTTTCATAAGTTGCCTCTTTTGTAACAACCCTATGAAGTATTATGAGGGCCATCCCCACTTTATAGATAAGGAAACTGAGACAGGGATGCTAATACATTGCCCAAGGTCACACAGCTCAGAAGTGCTGGATAGAGGATTGAGCCAGCCAGTCTGTCCCCAAAGACACATGATTCATCATTTGGCCACATGGCCTCCTTGGCACTACACCTGTTCCAGTTCTGCCATTAAACCAAAGATATTGGTCAAATCACTGTCCTTAAACAGCATGGGGGGACAGGGGTAGAGGACTAGATCATCTTTGTGGTCCCCGATGGTGCTGACATTCTACAGCCCGATGAACTGCTTTATCTGCAGGGCTGGAACAGGCCAATACTTCGGGTTGTAGGAGAACTCAGGTGTAGTTGTGGCTATGGCCATGACAACGACCAAGGGACAAGATGCACCCTCTCTCTCAGTAGAATAAGACCTGGCAAACCAGTGCTTTGGAAGCCAGTTTGGGATGGGGGGAGCGGGAGAGAGCATGTAGAAAGAACAGGGAAGTCATAAAGGCCGAGATTCCATTCCTGATGTAGCAAAGGCAGACCAGTCTCCCACATTCACGAGGCCACAAGACTTTGCTTCCCATCACTCAACACCGACTTTTCCTTACATGTCCAAGAGTTTCAGAAGTTTCAGGGTTACGGAAGTCACGAGGCTTATGTCACCATTTTGCCAAAGTGGAAATCGAGGCAACAAATGATTAACCTGGTGAGTCAGACAAGACAGGTAGAACAAAATGTGGATGCCAGACTCCTGGGCTCCTCCAACCTGAGTCTTTTTCAACCCAAAGCCCCACCTTCCACAGGGCCAGATTTCAGTCTAAACCATGCAAGCAGGGATCTTTCGAAAACAAAAACAAAACTATTCTTCTTAGTAAAGGTAAATGGGAAATAACTTCAATGTCCAATAAAAAAGAATTGCTTAATGGGGGACCCGGCTGGCTCAGTCGGTGGAGCATGTGACTCAATCTCAGGGTTGTGAGTTCAAGCCCAACATTGGGTATAGAGATTGCTTAAAAATAAAATCTTAAAAAAAAACAGAGAGGGGCGCCTGGGTGGCTCAGTTGGTTAGGCGACTGCCTTCGGCTCAGGTCATGATCCTGGAGTCCCTGGATCAAGTCCCGCATCGGGCTCCCTGCTCGGCAGGGAGTCTGCTTCTCCCTGTGACCCTCCCCCCTCTCATATGCTCGCTGTCTCTCTCATTCTCTCTGTCTCAAATAAATAAATAAAATCTTAAAAAAAAAAAGAAAAACAGAGAGCTTACTTAAGTAAGTGTATCATGTGTCCACACCATGGATTATACAATGTAACTACCAAAAAGGATGTCATAGAAGAACACTTAATGACATGAAAAAGTGCTCTCAATATAGAATTGCTAAAAAAAATTGTAAGTTACAAAGTAATATGCAGAATAGAATCTTACTTAGAAAAAAATAATAATTTGCAAAATGCTGGAGATATGTTAACAGTCATGTTCTCTTGGTGATAGGATTATGAGTACTTTGTATCTTCTTAATCTTTCTTTTTTATGTTTTCTACAATGGAAGACCTACTTTTTGGTGATAATAAAAAGTTATGTGAATCAATGGATTAGCAACAGAATTTTTCCTATCACCTCTGCAAACATATTTGCTTATAATTCTCATAAATCTTAAGTCTCAAATTTCTTTTTCTAAGCAATGAAATCAAAATAAAACCTCTGCCTGGTGGTTGGTTGTAGGCCACATTCAGTCACGGCCTTAAAGCAGTGTTTCAAGCATGGAGACTGCCCCCACCTCGCTAAGTTGTCCTTGCTGTCCTCCACACTGGGTCTTACCACCTTCTAACACCTTTAAGCCACACTGGATATTCAGCACAGCTGATACAAAATCAGGGGCAGACGCCCCTGGCTCACCCAAGGGCTCCGTGGGGTCCTCTCCAAGCTGGTAATACTCAGCCTTGTAAAAGTAAAGCCACGTGCTTAAGACGCCAGAGGTCAGGGAAGGGGGGAAGGTGATGGAATTAAGTGAAAATCACTCTGTCCAAGGAAAAAGTGAATCATTCAAGTTCTCCTGGGCCTAAAACATGGTTCCTTTCAGGTGGGGCCTCCTCTCTTTGTGGCTCTGGGCCTGTGGCCCTGGCTGATATTCAGGGATTGACTTAGTGGAAATATTTGTCTCAAGGTCTGGCAGTTTGGGTAGGTGCAAGCCCAGAGACCCTCATCCCAGGGACAGCGACTGTTAACAGGGGTGGTGTGGTGAGGATATGTGTTGACAGCTGGGAGAGCTGAGGGGGACGACAGCAGGGGCTTTTTCTTTGGTCACCAGGCCATAAATTCCA